AGAAAACGAAGTATCAGCTACGGAAATTAGCGATGGAAAAAATCTCTCGCTGATTAATGAGGGAATGACCAAAAACCACTTCCCTTGCTGATTCGTATCTTCCCTCGCTGATCCATTTGAGTTGGTTAGTTTTAATGTGTTTATGGTTTTGGTACGTTATTTTATGGCCAAGTTTTGTATAAATAAATATAGGAATTATAAATAAATATAGGAATTATGTAATTATAAATTATTTTTTTCTAAATCAATATAAAATTTTAATTTTTACTTACATAGTCTGAGCATTATTTTTGGTTTTGGTCATTTAGGGAGCACTATTTTCTCTAAAAAAAATTCTACATTTATGCATTATATGACATAATTCTAATAATAACAAAAAAATTTGATTAAAATATGCATACAAGTGTGTGAAAGTAAGCAAGGATTTAGGATTTAGGGTTTAGATTTTAGGTTTTAGGGTCTAGGGTCTAGAGTCTAGGGTTTATGGATATAAATATGTATATATAGGGGGTCATTCAAGGGAGAACTTAGTAATTGTGATAACTGTAAGATCTAATATCAACCATAAATCAAATGATAAATTAGAAAATTAATAATTTTTGGTAATTTTGACTTAAATTTTTAATTAAAGGTATTTTAGAAATCTTATATCTCTTCTCTCCTCTCTCCTTTCTCCTTTCTCCGACGAACCTTATTCCATCGAGCACCATGCGAATACAAGATACACAATGTGATACCTAAAAAACATCTTCAATGTTAAAAAAATACATACAAACGATCCTTATTTTATGCCCAAGATACTAACAATATGCACATTGTGATAGCCATTGTATACACTTTTTGATACTCATTGTATACATGTTGATACATACCGTGACACCCTTTGTTTACAACATCAATGTTGTGATATCCAATGTGATACTTATTGTATACAAGTTCATACTCCATTGTTTACAACATGTTCACTATATCAAATCTTAATTTTGGTAATACAAAATGAGAATATGAAGAGAGAGTTGTGAAATATAGAGCGAAAGTTGTTAAATAATTTAATTAGATACAAAATAATAATATCAAATTACTAATTTAACCTTTTACTTATTTTAAGAACTAATATTAATTATTTTAGATGATTGGCTCACATCAGATCTCGCAGTCATCACAAACGATGTTAAACAAAGCATTCAGGCTCATAGATCTTACAAATTTTGGAGTTCTCAAATGATTAAGCCTATATATATGCCAAAAAGATTCAAGATTTACATTGTCAATCGAGTACATGTGAGACAAATATATGTTAATATATATATATATATGTGTGTGTGTGTGTGTGTGTGTGTGTATATATATAGGTGGAGGTTCAAATGAGAACACCTCCATTTTATGAGGACGCGAGAACAACCTTATCACATGTGATAATACGCGTGAGGGGACCCTGTGATGTGCGGACGAGGTGTTCTACTATTTAGACCAGGCCAAAGGTTGTTTGCGTCTATGATTTAGCATCACATATGATAATGTTGATGGATTATAGTATCATGTCCACAACACTCTTATCGCATGTGATAATACTTGTGATGGGACTCAGTGGTGCAAGGGCGACTTGGCCTGCAACCAAGATCGCATCGAAAATCGCCTGCGTCTCTGATTTAGTATCACATGTGATTGTCTATAGTAAAATGGTGTTTTCGTATTCTTGTAAAATGAAGACTCCATAATATTATATATATATATATATATATATATAATATAAACTCAACTTTGTAATATCATAAGAGAATATGGGTTTGAGAAGAGAGATTTCTTATTCCTATTTATAATAAGATTTCTCTATGAATGCTAAACTCTGTTTCAAGAGAGACATGGGATTCTTCTTTACCATCTTAACTCGTCTTCTTCATGGAGTCATGAAACTTGCAGGTTTAACACCCCAAACCCTAAAATTAGACCCCGACACCCTCATGAACATATGGGTTCCAAAACAGACCATCGTCAAGCAGCATGATGGAAAAGGCAAACCCTTATACGTACCACCCAAGAAGCCTGCTGTACTCCTCCTCCACTGTTTCGCCATGGATGGTATCTTCCTATGGTTTCCCCAAGTCTTGGCCTTAACCGCTAAATACTCGGTCTACGTGCCTGACCTTCTGTTCTTCGGTGGCTCAACCAGTGGACGTTCCAGGCCGAGTTTTTGGCGAAAGGGATGGAGATTCTTGGAGTGCAGAAGGTGACAGTGGTGGGGTTAAGCTATGGAGGGATGGTTGGTTTTGAAATGGCTAAGTTGTACCCAAACTTGGTTCAGTCGATGGTGGTGTCGTCGACTGTTGTAGAGTTAACCGAGTCGCTTAGCCGTGAGTCGTGCAAGCGGTTCGATGGTTCAAGTTGGACGGAGCTTTTGTTGCCGGACACTGTAGAGGGTTTCAAAAGGATGCTTACTGTTGGTGCTCATAAACTCCCATGGCTTCCTAATTTTATTTATCGTGGAATTTTGGAGGTATTCTCAAATCCCAACTCTACGTATAATCATGTGAAAATATATTATTGTTTTATTAAATAAATAAATTAAATACATTTATATTAACAGAAATAATGATGTGTATATTTATATGCGATAAATAGAACAAATAAACTCATACCCTTCTCACCTTCGGTGAGATTTGAACTATTAACCTCCTAGGAGACCAATGACTCATGTACCACTAGGCCAAAAGCCCTTTTGTGATGTGTTTATTCACACAAACCCTGTAGAAATGTTTTCTTGTTATTGATTTCGTGTTATTTTTAATTAAACTTGTAGACAATGTTTAATAACCGAAGGGAGAGAAGTGAACTCTTGAAAGCTATGGTTGTTCCCGACAAGGATGCGATAACGGATACCAACTACTCTCAGGTTGTTAAATTTATACCAAGATTATAATCATGTTATATACACACACACACACACACGTCGTTATTGTTATGTTTAACGTTGTTATAGCATATCCAACCGACCAATATAGAGCCAACAAATTTACGTTTTGGCATGGGGGACCGCCAAATACGAGGTGGCTTTTTCTTATTAATCTGGATATCCAACCTGCTATGCTAGCTGACTAATCTTAGGTATATTCATGGTTGGCAAAATTTTGTATCTGGTGAATTTTGGTGTTTTTTAATTAGTGTGTAGTCGGGAATAGAAATAGATTTTAGTGTTTTTTGTGGCGTAGGTTGGATATGGTCTTACGTTGGAGTCATAAATCAGATAGAGTTCGACCATTTTCTTTATTAATTATACATGTGAAAACTTTTTTTTGGGTAACCGTAGGTTTCCAAGCCACACTACAAAAAATCGGGTTTATAGGACATTCTTAAATTCTAAGTGTCATAATAGACCTCTTAATAGTACTTAGTTTATATGACCAAAAAAATAAAGTATCTTATCTAAAGGTGTTGTAATAAGTTTATATGACGTTTTTTGACGTCGTAATAAGTTTTTTATGACACTTTTAATATAAAGTGTCCTATTATCAACTTTATAGGACACTGTTTGAAAATTTGTCCTATAAAAACAAGTGTCTTATAAAAAATTGAGTTTATAGGACACTTTTGAGAAAGTGTCCTATAAAGTTGTTAATACAACACTTTGTATGAAAAATGTTCCAAAAAACTTGTTAAGACGCCCAAAAGCGTCATATAAATTTATTGCAACACCTTTAGATATGACACTTTATATTTCAGTCATATAAATTAAGTCTTATAAAGAGGTCTATTGGGACACTTAGAGATTGGAGGTGTCCTATAAACTCAATTGTGTTGTAGTGCCAGTTTACACTCATCGACTAATCCTCGGATGACCACGAATCACCTGGAGTCATCACATGTGAACCTCCATAGCCACAAGTTTTGGTAGCGCCTGTATCATGCTCTTTTGTGTGGCTTTTATGATTAGGAGTCTAATTGATAATAATTTCATGTATTCTCACATTTAATGGTGGTTTATTGCATCGATATACGTTGGATTCTTATGTTGTTGATTAGAAATCTAATGAATTTCGTGTATTCTCACATTTAATGGAGGTTTATTGTATCTTAGAGGATTCTTATGTTGTGGGGTGAGAACGACAAGATCTTCAATCTTGAGATTGCGAACACCATGAAAACGTAAGATCCCAAAATCTTCGTGTTTCTTTAGTTAATTTAATATTGTAATTGAGTATGCGTGGTTGGATATATGTAGACGATTGGGAGCAAAAACAACGTTAGAGTCCATAAAGAACGTTGGCCATCTTCTATCGTTGGAACAGCCATTTGCCTACAATCGGCGTCTCAAACATTTTCTTGCAAGTTCCATGTATAATTGAGCGTTGAACACTCAATAGGAACTTTGGTGGTATCGGAATGTATCGTATGATTCGAATGATCGAAATAAAGTCTGAATTTTGAAGTAAACTATGTTCCCTTCATAAACCAGTTAGGTTCACCGGCTAAGGCCTTAAGTTGGTATGTATGATCAACGTCATCTAGAACAACAATAACCTTTTTACTAGGAATATTCTTTTTCGTCATGTTTTTTTCCGTCAAAAACACCGGTTACAGTGATACCTTAATCATTCAAGACATCTTTAAGGACTTGTTGCAAACACTTTAAACTTAAGGGGGGACTTTGAAACTTTCCAATCATTCTCAACAAAGCTGATACCTTCGAACTTATTGTATATTTGATCGAAAAGAGCTCTTGCCAAAGTTGGCTTCCCAATACCTCTCATCCCCGTGATTCCTTTCATGCAAAACTCATCAGGAAAAGAGTTTAGAGATGAGACCACATCATTTATCTGGGTCCTCGCGCCTATGAAACTGTTCATCAGTGCGCTGTGATGGAATGCAACTTTAATGAAATCTCCTTGACAGCTATTTTGATAAATTCAACTTCATGCATGTGTGTTAAAGAAGAATCAATTAGTTTTCTCAAACTCTCATATATATGAATAATTACGTTTATATTTACAAAATACAAACATATAAGAAGTAATTATGGAGTCACATATATAATCATATTTCAGTTTAATATTTGAGAAGAGTACTCAAGTTCGAGTTGGAGTTTGATGACAATAAAACATGAAAAGAAACAAACGAAGAATTACCCATCAGTAGTTGTCCTAAATGGCCCACTTTGATTGCGGACTTCATTGTGTTTCACATCATAAAAGATAGGGTAAACAGTCTTGTCTTCTCTCAGTGTGCGTCTTTTGGCACTCCATAGTCTTGACAAGCTCATCCAAGCACCAAGATGAAAATGCGTAGAATATCGAGTCTTCGATGGCTTCAATGAGCTCCTTACTGATATTTTTGCCTTTCTCGAGGTTCTTGTTGTCCTTGTAAGTTTCAATGTTCTTTAGTTTAAGAGCCTGAAAAAGATGATCAGTGAATGTCTTACGAGCGTCTACACCTTTACAACTCAAAATACATCACACTTAATGCAGGGGCACTTGTTATGTTTGTATTGTTAGCACAAATTGGCTCTTAATCCGTCAACCTTGCAAATTTGTTGCAACAATTTACCAAGATCGTATAATGCTCTTTGTTTTCAGTTCTACGTCACATACAACTTCTGTTTACATGTTTTGATTGTTTACTGTATTAAACACCTTCAACACGAGAATGACACAACTGGTTGGATTTAGGGTTCAATTCATATGAATCCATGCGTAATGTAAAAAACCATACCTTGAATAGCATACAACCGCAACATTTTTAGTATTTGTCTCTAAATGCAATATCTCCAAACTGTTCTTGAAATGACATCTACAGAAAGATGATAATATCCTAAACAAATAAAATGAAGCATGATTGAAGAAATAGACATGCACCAAGTTAATACCACTAGTTGATTCATGTCGAGAATAAGAAAGCATTTGATCTACTTAACACGTGCTAGTTCTAAGTAATCCTAAAAAGTTGGGGAGAATATAGGGCAAAAGAGTTATGCACCTCCATTTTCAGCCCCCTCGCCATTTTTATATCATGTTTTTAGCAAAATGTCGTGTACTTATTAGCTACGTACGTTTCTTGCAGTTTTGGATTCTTGAAGACAAGTTTGTTTCTAATTAGTTTAAAACTTAACATTTAAAATTAATTTGGTAAGCAAAAAAGCAACCAATTTGATATTCAAATATCTAAGTTAACTTTTTTTAGACCATAACTCAATGTAGGTAATCGAAAACTAATTTCTCATAGCCAATTTGGGAGCATCTTATTACCTCTTAATAACATATTAGAGTTCGAGAGAGCGGCAAAGAAAGTATGAGGATCCATAGGATTCAGTTCACCTCTTAATAGTTCCATTAAGAGGCAACTTTTGAATCGTTAAAAGGTTAATCTTGTTTGGCAACAACAAAGTCTGCCTCTTAATGGTTCTAAAACCCTCCGAATGATTTTGTATCATAAATCTCCCTTAACCATTAAAAGCTCTAATTTCATTGTACACAATTACCAAACAATTATATTTCATTTTACACTATATCATGAGAGCTTCTTAATCATTCTACCTACTAAATCATTCTGCACCAAACCATTCAACAATTACCAAACAACCCCTTAAGATTTGTGCATCCAGACTTCGGGAAATTAACTCAAGACTGGAACTCTAGTCTATAAAGTTGGATTTATGGACTATGCGTCCAGACTTGTGGTTTGTGAAATTGACCAAGTCTGTAAGAGTGGTCGTCCTCATTTATCAGGTAAGACTCTCTGTCCTTGTCTCGAACATTTCCTCACTTATTCCTCGTTTTATATGTATTTTCATATTTTGTTTAACCTGAGGTTAAATAATCTTCAATTTTTCATAGTATGGGACTGTGTCAAATGATCAAAATAAAGTCTGAATTCTGAAGTAAATTATATTCCTTTTATATTTAAATACAATTTTGAATTCTACAAAAACAAAACACAATAACTGATATACTTATGACTACATTCTTAGACAAGTTTTTCAGCTTTACCATTAAGAAATTTTTGAACTAGCTAATAATGATACCACATCAAATAAGCTAATAAAATAGATAGAATACATTTTTTCATACAAAAACTAAAAAATTCCTTATTATTGGTACAACACCATAATAAATTAATAAGTTAAAAGAAACCAGAGAGTTGTTTTTTTACCTATTAATAGTTACATTAAGAGACAACCTTTATATCATTAAAATGTAACTCTTGTTTGGCAAAAATAGTCAGACTCTTAATAGTTCTAAAAGACTCTGAATGATTTTATTTTGTGGATCTCCTTTAACCATTAATAACACTAATCTCATTGTATATAATTACCACACAATTATATTTTATTTTGCACCATATCATAAAGAGTCTTTTAATCAACAATTATGAAATAGAACCTAACTTAAGTTCCTTGCTGACAAATTAAGGAAATCATGCTATTTGGCTTCAGATTTTGTAATTAGCAGCATGATTCCATTGCTTACTAATTCTAGAACTTGAAATGGAAACATGAATCTATACATGTTAAGATCCTAAATTCAGAACAAGAATCTAAAATAAAACCTTCATCAATGGCAAAAATAGATCTACAATCAGCATTTGTTATCATACACAACACATTTATCAGAAGAGCGAAACTTGCAAACCATACAGTTCGGCGTACAAGCATTATACTTCTGTGATAATTTATGGGAAGACTTTTACAAAGCGCAAGGTGGATCTGACAACAGAAACACCTCATCTTCTTCCCCATCTCCGATAAAAATTGAATAATGAGAACTAAAAACAAATAATCGCGTAACACAAAAACCAAATTGACCACAAATCGTTTAACAACAGTTTTAAGATTTCTCTTTCTGTATAGAATGATAAAAAGAATTTAAGAATGTTTGATTCAACCTGGCCCTAAATTTATGTCGACAAACATGCCGATTCAACAAACCATTAGATCTTCCGTAATACACATGGAAAACTTATGATTTAAATGAAATAGCAGAAGATCACAAAGATACATATTATATACATCGATCGGTAGAATGTGTGACTGTGAGTGTGTGTGTTTATTGATAAAAAAGAGAGATGAATCAGAGATGATGCTCAGACGCTCTATAAAGAATGGATTAGAGAGTTTGTCCTCAGTAAATCATATCAGATTAACGAGATTATTAACATAATCATCATTGCATCTCCTCTCTTTTCTTCGATATCAAAATCACAAACATTCAAACTAAAATCAAATTATGCATAAAAATTAAAGACGAAAACAGTATCATTCATACCAGACGTTTGATGGACAAGGATTCTAATCGGAAAAGTAAAAGGGGATTAAGTTGAATCTGCAGAAACAGGTTAATGTGGCTGCCATATCTGCTAGAGCTTAAGCTGCGTTCGGTTATATATAAAAAAGAGACAGAGGTAGCTGAATACCCTAGGGCAATACCTTGGGCTTTCGATGCTAGGCCCAATCTGGTGAATAAAAAATTAAAGATAAAATGCACAAAATAGCAATCTACTTTCATAAATTTCTTTATTATAGGATTGTACTTTCAGTTTTTCTTATTACAGCAATATAATTTGAAAAATTTACCCATTATAACATTGGGTAACATTTTGATTTAAATTTACCCATTAAACTAAGTTTTCATGCCACCTCATTGTCCACGTAGGCTGTCCACATGTATTATAGTGATGTGACTTTCTTACTACATCATTGTACTTTCAAAATTATTTTATCATAACATTTACTAGTTCTTATTAAACACTGTATTTTTAATTTTAATTTTTAGATATTTTACATGTTATTTAATAAATGTATTAAAAATCTAAATTATTCATTAATATACCAATATCAATAAAACTAGTAGAACACAACTTATCTCGCTAACATTTTTAAAAAAAAATGTGTTTTTTGAAAAAAGGAAAATAATAATTGTTCTTTTTTTACCAAAAAATATTATCTTTTAAAGAATATATTATATTTGTTCAAAAACTTTTTACTTGACGTATAAATATATTAAATTAATTAGACTTTTTTAAATTATTTATTAATATAACAATATTAAAAAATTGTAGATAACAATTTATTTCGTTAATATTTTACAGAGAACTTCAAAAGATATGTATTTATTTGAACAACATAAAATAGAAAAAGTTATTTTTTTACAAACAAAATATATCTCGAAAATAATGTTTCATATTTATTTAAAAATATTTTACTCTAAGAATATTTAATTTGAATGCAACTTAATAAAAAAAAGTAAAAAAAAAAAGTTTTTTTAGATCATAGTAATGAAAAATGAAAATCACTAATAATAATTTGAAATAGATTTTTATTTTAATTTTAGTTAAGTCACCAATATGATGTGGCATCCACATCACCTCATTAAAGCTACACAAGCAAAAAAGTTAAAGGGTTAACCTGTTTAAAAGGTAATAGGTTACCCATTGTTATTATGGGTAGATTTTTAAAGTATAATACTTTAATAAAAAATAATTTAAAAGTACATTGCTGTAATAAAGAAAAACAAAAGTAGAATGCTATAATAAAAAAAATTATGAAAGTAAGTTGCTATTTCATGCATTTAACCCAAAAATTAATAATTTATCTATACTATATTATAAAGCATTTGATAAAAACTATAAAAAAATCATTTTTCATTCGTAAAGTACCGTTTATTAATCTATACTATATTATAAAGCATTTGACAAAAACTCTTAAAAACCACTTTTTATTCATAAAGTACTGTTTATTAATGCATATTACTTAAAACTCAAGATTGCAAATAGATTGTGCATACGTACAACTTATTAAAGCTACATATCTGAATTCGTGTAACTAACTGCAGATAAACATAATCAAATACAAGATAAACATCTCATTTTAAATATTAAAAATTTAAAATATAATTAGGATAATCATTGAGTTCTAACAAAATACTTAATTATTATCTTTATAGAATGTGATATAATTAAAACAAAAATAAATTATTTTGTTATTAAACTTAAATTAAATTATAATAAATTAAAAAAATTACATAAAAAATAAGAACTTTTAAATA